TAACGTCTGTTAGCGGCTTCGATTACCTGGTTCGTTGGCTACAAACTCTTCATTGAGTGAGTGAGCTCTGGCTCTGGATCACATAACCTGCAGGATGTTTAATTCTGGTCGATGCACCGGACACACACCTCAGCACACATGGTTTCTACCGTCGCATCTGTTGCACAAGACGCATGTGTGAAGTCACTTTCAAGTCAAATAAGCGGCGACCCCTCCTCCTCCTCATCTTACTCATGAAACCCCCTCCCCACCAAACACACACACACACACACCTCTAAAGGAATATCCAGAAAGGGGACAGGGGTGAATCCTGCCAGAAAAAGGGGCTCCCACCTGAAAACATTCCTGTCGTACAGGCCGTGTTTTCCTTACCCCAACAAATTTACACAGTTGTTAGTGATGGCCTGGGATTCCTCCTGAAGCACAGCCCACCAATAATAAACAGTACGGCAGCTGACACCACAAGACACCTGCACGGCTCCCTGACACTGCAGGATTGTTACCAGGACTGAGGGGGGAAGGGTCTGGGTGGAGGGTTGTTTGGTGTGGGCAGAGGTGGGCTGGGAGATGGGGGGTGGGGGGGGTGGGGAAGAGGAGGACAGGGAGGGTCTTTGGGGCTGGCAGGCAGATTTTGTCACTGTGTGTGTGTGAGTGTGAGAGAGGTTATTGGGAGTCAGGGCTGAACGTGGGTTTATTTATTACCCCCGCTACGGCAGTAATGTTTGTTTTTTATTTGTCAGCAGTCTGCATAAACTACTTGATGGATTTCCATGAAACGTAGTGGAAGGATGGAGCACAGGGCCAGAAAGAACCCATAAAACATTGGTGTGGATCCGAATCCAGTAATTCTTTTCGGGATGATGTCTATGAGTTGGAGCAATTGGTGCGGATCCAAATAAAAATCTAGTGGATTTGAATGTGGTTTGGCTTGTTGGTCAAACAAAATAATAGATCGACTTTCTGTGTCCCACACACACACACACACACTCACACACACACACACACACACACACACACACACACTCATGCCACCGGATGTCAGGTGGTCCGGCCATTGTGTCCTCACCTGTAGGACATTGTCAAAGCACAAAGGAGGGGCACAGTACGTGTCAGCCTGCTGTCAGCTTCTGTTTGACTTGAATTTGTAAATCCCTCTCTTTCAGCCGTGGGCCTTTGAAAGATTAGCCAAAGGTTTGTGAGGTGAATCACATCTGTGTGGTTTCACTTATTGTCGAGAGGCCGCAGTTTTCACAGACTTCAGTAATTACAATTGTCAACACTGTTCAAGTTTCACTGCTTGTTTCTGAGCATATAAACATGTTACCAGTGGATTCTTTTGAGGGTGGGGTACCCGTGGGGATTGGAGATGCTTTGTTGTGTTTATTAACTGCACGGATCATGGATTTAAAAAGAAACTCCCCCGGTCTACTGTTCTTCATGGGTTTATATAACCTTCATCTTAAGGTCACCGGTGTTTTGCTTGCAGCCATCTGAAATTTCAACTGTGTACGCATAAAAAAAAAGGAGAGCTTCAGAAACGTAATATTAAGTATCACAAAGAGGCAGAATCTCTACCTGGGACCCGTGCGGCGCTCAGCTTCTCAGGCACTAACCAGCCTGATGTTTGCCATAAAGCGGGGCCTCTCGCTCGCTGCCCTGTGAGGTCACAGCACCTGTTCTTGGTAATTGCTGGCAGGTGACGTAAGGCTTCCACTTTGTTTTCCATGGTGTGAGGTGGAGGTCCCCCTGCTCCCTCCAACACTGAGGCTGTGGCTTGTTTGCAGCAAATAACCAAGTCTGACTCGGATGGTTCTGCTCCTCCAGTTCCCTGAGAGAGGAATGAACTTTGGCTTACCTGTCGAAGGCGAGTTAGTAAAACTAAAGTTGCGCCTTTGTTTTGCTTCCAGCAGTTTTCCGCACTGTGCTGTTTGTATTTTAGACATGTGTTTTTCACTGAAACATACATGGATTTATTTATAGGAGCAGATGCATTTGAAAAAAGGGCTCAAGGCATCTGAAAGTTATTTCCTGACAAAAAGCTAAAAACAAACTCTCTATCCTTTCAATTTCTCATAACTTTGTACCAGGCTGAGTAATATGAGATACATGACATGTACCCTTTATACTATTGTAGCTCTGCTTTTGATATCTTTGGGTGCATGTGGTAAATAAGTGTTTGCAATGTTGTGAGTCACTGATGTAAAAATCAAGTTCTGCTCAATGTCAATCTTCATGTACTTTCATGTACTGAATCAGCCAAAAACAGATTATAATCTATAAAAGTATTCTCAATGTGAGTATAAATACATCAGTCATCCACCTCTACACTATATCAGGGATACGAGGTGAGAAACCTGGGCTGTTAGACAAACAGACATGTAGTAAACAGACACCAGTTTACAGGTGATTCAATTTATATAACCTTCTGTACCGACGTTAATCTGATATAAAGCACTCACTCACTTTAATCCTAATATAAGTAACAACATAATCTGGTTAAACTGTCACAAAGTTTAATCTGCATGGTTATTTTCCCAGATCATTATCGCGAACATAGACGAGATAAAGATGGACGACATCTCTCATCTCATCGTATAATCCTAATATTTAGAAAATATGGGTCACGATGAACAAAAAGTTTACTGCATCTTGTTTTATATAAAGCAACTGAAGCCATTGGTTTATCTTGATACACTTCAATTGGCAGACATGGAAAAAATCAAACACATATAAAATCTGAAAAAAAGGCGTAGGACCACAGATCTGTATTTCTTACCGTGTGAAACCGGTGCTGTCTCATTTGACAGACTGACCTTATTGACTTATCTGCCAACAACCAATTTAACAGATATTTTTATCACCACTCACCAAATGTAACCGGCCGCTTTTGCAGCGTCCACCTGATAATGTCTTTTCAAGCCTGGCTGCAGGAGGACAGAAGCCAGTAGATAGGATATCTAGCCCAGGCCTCCAGCCAGCTGTGAACCTGATAGCATCTGTTTTAAGCGTTTGAGGGACACAGAGAAAGGAGTCCTCTTGTTTTCTCAGCTCTGGAGCGCTAGTTATCTCATGCATTTGTAGTAAAGTGATCCACAGATGGCCCGTGTCCTGACAGTTATACAAATGTGATATCACCATCTGAGGTATTCCACTTGGATCCTCTCTCTGTGCGACTGTAGCCCGACAAGTGGGACACGTTCACACTCAGAGTAAACAAGACAAGTCAGACAGACAAAGAGCCTCTCAAGTCAAAGCCGAGACCAAATAAAGAAAAGATGCTTTTTTATTTTTGTGAAGGCAGACAAAACAACCTCTTCACACCTGAGCGTGTTCTGTGTGTGGAGTTCCTCACATCCATTGTCACCATGCGTTATCTAAACCATCAAATCGACATGAAAAGATCATTTCATGTCGAGCTGTCACCCGAGGGGATTTGGACAATTTACCTTTCATTCGCTTTGTCTGAGTCAGGTGACAAAACCATTCGTCATTCTTTTTATTCCAGGTTGTGTCTGGTCTGCACGTACTTCAAAGAGCTGGTCTGTGATGGGTGCTAATGTTTTTGTTGGGTTTGCTTTGGAGGATTCAAATCTCTTTTTGTTCTTACTCATTGTAATCTAATCAGAAATCTGTGCTTGAACTTTAAAGTGACGCTCTCGTATCCAGGGGTGTTTTTCTGAAAAGCTCAGACAAGATCTAGATCCTGATCTTGAGCTATTTCATATTTCAAACCAAACAGGTATCCTAGCAACTGGCCCTTGAATACACTTAATGTTTACCACAGGAGCGTTTCAAGGGACTTTGAGGCAAAAGGGGACCTGGGGGCCCTTTATGTGAATCCCCCAAGAAACACGTTATACACGATGGACCTTCTAGTTTTCTACCAAACCTCTAAAATTACAAAGCTTTGGCAGAGGGTTCGTGTCGTGGGGCCTCATCAGGGGGTTTCTGTCCGTGGTGTCGTTGCGTTCCTCTGTACACAGCAGATCAAATCAGTAGTTGCTGTGGGCCCTCCTCTCAGCTCGGGGGGCCCCAGCCGATCGACATCTTTGCCTACCATGTTGCAGCACCCCTGGTTTCACAGTCAATGTACAATTTTTGTTGGCATCAAGCGAGAGGATTTCACAGGTCCATTTACTTCCTCGCAGGTCAAGAAGGTTCAAAACCTCGAGGTGGGGTCACGTTTCTATTGCAGTGGAGCTTAGGTGTGATTTTCCATAATTCTCTTACCTGAGTAGATTCAAGCAGAGCACAAATTCTGAAAATTAGGAATGTGACACCCTCTTTAAGATCTTTATTTATAGACTCATTCTATGTATTTGTTGGTTGTTGCAGTTTAGTCAGAGATTCACTCACTGATGAATGAATAGCTCTCCTTCATGAATGATGGCAGAATGCTGCATACAAAATAACATCGGTAAAACATCCTCCCATGATCCTCAAGACGCCTAAAGGATAAATAGTAGAGATAATGGATGGATGGATCGTTTAGGCTAAAATTGTCAATGAAATGCCAATGACCCCCTCTTTTGTTTATCTAAATGTATTTTTTGATTTATTTTCTACGGGAAGTTTTAACAATTCTCACAACTTACACTATTAAGTTCAAACTCAGGATTCTACATCTCATGTCATTTCAAACTCCATTCTCGCCCCAACCGTAGGTGTGTTGGAACGGAACTGAGACTCTAGTTACTGTAAGCCGAAGGATTCGGCTGGAGACCCACGCACTTATCTGAGCAGGATACTCTGTAGACAGAACACCTCGGTGAGCTCGGGCCATCGCAGGACGCCATAAGTTGGAGTCGATTCTGATGCGAGTCTGAGCCAAAGTATAACACGAGCCTTTGTATTTCAAAGTGGGAGGATTTGAAACAGATCCCCTCTATCTGTCCAGTTTTAACAAGTGACATTGTCCTTCCTGGCTTTTACTCAGGAGAGATTTGATGGCCATGATTATTTACACAGAGGGTTTTCTTTCTTCTCTCTCTTTTTTACAGTCGGTCATTTTCATAAGGGATCATAATACTCTTGGACAGGAAGTGTCTGGCTATATAGACTACGCCCACAGACTCAAGACCCAAGATTTTGAACCATATTTCAGCGGAAAGAAGAGGCTCATGCCAGGGCGTTCGGATTTATGGTAAGTCTCCTTCCATTGTAACATGTCCATGTTGGTTGGGGAGGCCGGGACTGCAGTGGGATTTGACAAGATTTGAAGGCTAAGGAAATCTTATTATCCAGGATTAAAGATTCAGGTTGACGTGAGTGACCAATATAGGCTTGGAAGGAGCTGTGTGAAGGGCCAGTATAGTTGGTACGTTCAGAACCAGCCACTGTGGCTTCAGCGCAGATGTGGAATAAATATACACTGCTGAAGTACAGCTGAGTGAAGCTGCCAAAATGCTGAACCTGTCTGGACAAGACAAATGTGATTGGAGTCGGAATCAGAGCAGGTTTAACCCATGAGATCTTGATCTTCTGTTGATGCGCAGTAAATTTGTCAGCACTGATAAAAATCAAAGATTAAATACACTGATAGATGAGTAGATTGCTTAATTCATTGATTTACTTAAGGAAGCACATTTATTCAACAAACCTGTCATGTTAATAAACCATTAGATTCCATAATTAGAGGTGTGATGTTTCCTTTTTATAAAGACCTGAAACAGTAAATCGCCTGATAATCTGATCTTCATCAAACTTATGTTTAAAACAAAATGGCCAAACTTGTCTCCTGCTTCTGAAATGTGAAGAGGCCTTGTAGTTTTGATCTTTTTGATTTAAATTTGAAAACTGTGACTGCTGACTTTGGAAATATCAAAAACACACTTAGATTCTATTAGTCCATAAAACCCCAAGGTTTTCAGGTGTATTAAATCTGGTTCATTCAGTGAAGATACATCGTGTGCTGTAGGTCACAACCACCCGCACCGGTGCCAATCGCACAAGTTCATCACCGGCCACAAGTGAACTGTTGACCTCACGGGTGTCAGCTAAAATCCAGTTTATATCCCTCAGTGAGGCAGGTAACATCTGTATAATTTGTTGTCTATCAGCAGAACTGTGTACATAGAGAGCTGTCAGCAAATTACTGGAGCCAAAACCATCCCCACATTCCACATACTCGTGCATAGTAACATATTACCAAACATTTCAGGTAAGTGCAAGAAATCCCATGGGGACAGACACAGAACGAGTTCGCGTATTACATGGTTTTTGTTCAGAGTTCAGCCAAATGGCATCCAGCCTGTGTAACCTCTTTGACACCGAGCAGAACATGGTGAACAGTGTCTGAACGTGTCAGATCTTCAAGGACAAGCTCTTTATTTCTCCAAGCTACAATCCAGGTACAACTTCAGCTTTTACACAATTTAACAACCTGATGCATTGAATCCTAACAACAGGGCTGCATCAGAAGGCGTATTTCACAACAGAGGACAATAGGAATGAAGATTAAGAACAAATCTCCAGTATCATCGAAGTATTTGGATCAGACTATTGATGTACAAGATGTAATACCTGTAATAACACCAATAATTAGTCACATATTTCTGGTGACTGCAGCTACATGATGTACGGTTAGGTCTAATGCACAGTATTCTGAAGCTGTGTCGCATTTCATGGATCCGTCACGTCCTTTAGAGGCTACATTTAAAGACTGCGGTGGGACGTGGCGGTCCATTTCAAATGCTTCTTCACGACGAAGTATCTAATGGTCGGATCCGTCTCAGGCAAACCTATCCCAGGATTCATAGTGCGCCCGTGTGGTGAAGCTATGTGTGGGCTGTGTGAGTGGTTAGGGACAAGCAGGGAATCCTCTCTAGACAAGATGGTGTCGTTTCAATTTGGCCTTTGCTGTCTACAAGTTTTCACAAATAGCTGAGATACACAACGTGTACGACGTCAACGATAAGAGTCTGCATTTTATTTTTTTGGTTTTCAGTCGTGTGAGACATAGAAAGCTTTATTGGTTTTTTTCTCGCCACGTGCTGTGACACACACTTGTGGCCTTGAACCCGACCTCTTCTCTGGTGAGTGGAAGCCCTGACAGGCTGTAGGTGTGAGTCATTGGGCGAGCATGCCTGGAGGTATGACCCACTCCCTAATGGTGCTTTTACCAGCCCCCCCCAAACAACAGGTCTCTGACGTTAAACCCCCTGTTCCTCTAAAACTGGACTCCATGAGATTAACTATCTGTCTTTATCTTCAACTTCTCCAACATCCTCATCCATGCTTTGCTACCTCTCCCCTTTTCTCTCCCCCATGTCATCCTCTACCATTCCG